GTCGCCGATATTAACAGTGGCGTGCAAAAGTTTCCGACCAGTGACATTTTGTATTCTAATTTATAAAAAAAGCCTAATAAAATTTTAACTATTATCGGGCATCAGTACAAGAATAACGAAATTTTGTGATAACATCTGATAATGATTAAAATTTTATTGGGCTTTTTTTTATAAATTAGATTATATAAAATGTCACTGGCCGGGAACTTTTGCACGCCACTGTAGATCTCCTAAAGCAACACCTCTCAGAAATTAATTATTGCACTTTATAAATAAAAATATGAACTATTTAAACAAGTAATTAGCATTTATGCACCATAATGATCTATTTAGTTAATTAAAAAAGTGCAAACGCATAATTCGTATTTTGTGGCTTGTTTCTGTATGAAATCAGTTAAAAACAAATTCTATGAATGTGAAAATAAAATTCTTATGATTTTCTTTTGCAAATAATTTAAATAATAGTGATTATATTATCAATATTATGTCATTTTAAATGCTGTAATTTCTTAAATCAGTTTCATATATATATTATTTTTTTAGTTTTTTTTATAAAATTATTTTAAATATAAAATCGGGATGCAGCGTAAACCGACACATTTGTCTGTAAAACAAATCATGAGCTAATCTTTGTAATGTACTTTATAATATCAAATAACTCTATCGAAGTTAAAGAAAATGATACATATACGAGAAAGGCATTGAAAAACTATCGCGTTACATATTTGCATCTTGTAGCATAAAGTAAATACGCATATAATTTAACAAAAATGTTTTGTATAAAAATGAAAAGTCAGACGCTCATTTTTGCTTATTTTACGAAAAAATTAATTATTGCAAAATTATAAACAATATTATAAAAACTGCTTATATTATCTGATAGAAGGCACTTTTTAATTTGTATTCATGTATTTTTATTTTATCTTTTGTTTAAGAAATGTTGTCTAAAAACAAAACGGTTTCGGCAATCTTCTCCTATAAATAGTCGAAAATTTTTGCAAATTTTTTTTGGCACGTGACAGACACAGTGAGAAGAAAAATTCCCTTTTTTTTGCTCGTAGTTTTCTATATAAAAATTACAAAACTCACACAAATTAAAAAAATATAGTAACTATTCAAAAGAGAATTCAAGCTTTAAAACCCTTTTTTAAATTTAAGTTTTGATCCTTTTTAATAAAAAGATATTGTATATATAATTTTGAGCTAACAAAATATCGTAGAACTTTTCTTCCAACTTAATATAATGCGATCAAATGTATTTACAAAATTCTGATTCCAAGACACTTATGTAACATGCGATATATTAAACCTAACCATACAATATGGATTGCCCTCAAAAAGCAGTTGTTATATTCCTAGCGTTTCCGAGCGTTGTTATATTCCTCTGCTCATGAACAAACAATAACTGTAGATTGCAAGAATTGCAAAGGATGGAACAACATTGTTAAAATAGGACAAACCATACTATAGAACGTAAATTAATGACGGCGAACATGCCTATAAAAACGATAGACATTATTAAGACTGTGACCAAATTCATTTATCCGAATACAACTTAACCTTTTTATGAAATCAACTAAAACATAAGGACCTAAGCCAGAAATGATAAAATTAAAAAAAATATTTATCTGATGGAATTAATGAATTTAAATGTCAAACTACAAGACAGCGGAATTAGAAAACGCACAGAATTCATCATTTCTAACGGGACCTATGATATACAGTATATCATATACAGTCGAGCAATACCATTGTAATAATTATTGTAATCATTGTAATGATTGCATATATTAACAATAAAATACTAATAATAAAATACAAGGAAATTGCAAAGCGGAAGTAAATCCCGCGTAAAAAAGAGGGATTCTCATAGAAAATATCGAACTTCCATTTTCTTTTTTCAATAGGAGGAAGATGCGTGACCAAATAAATCATTTTTAAAATTCTTCATTTGCAAATTTTTTTGCAAATCAGTATTTCAAAATTAAAGTTACATACAAAGTTATATTAATTTGGACTACATAACGCAACAATTGCAGCAGTTCGTGAAGAAATTCGGCACTTTCGAGAATAAAAGCGCGAATTCCGAGCATCTCGAGCCGTTCCGAAAAGTTCAATGGAAGTGCAACACGATTGTGAGAATCTTTGACAAAAAAGACTATAAACCAACAATTTATAAATTGTAATAAATTTTCTACAAATACTAGCCTACTTCAATCTGAGGACTTCGAACTTTTACTATTACAATGTCGCAAAGTCGAAAACGGTAATCTGCTTAGCTCTGTGTGGCATTCTCATATCTTAGCACGACCGATCAATGGCTGACCCAAATTTCGAATATTCTATATCCGGAGCATCCTTGTACCTTAAGTGGTATAATAATCTATATATTTTTTTAATGAATTTATCTTTTAGATATATGACTGCGTACTGATTAATTTCAGACTTGCAGCAATCAAATTGAATTAATAATATTCTTCCCAAATTTTAAATTTTAAATTAGATTTTCAATTTAATACTATTAGCATCTTAAAATATGGAAATTTGTTTATTGTGAAGAGTATTTTATATTCAAATACTCTTTTGTTTGTACAAAACTTTTTATATAAAATTCCATAAATTAATAAAAATTTATGTTAAAACAATAGAAAAAGAAACTTTTCTTTAAGAAAACAACATATATATTGAACGTTTTATTATTTACACTTAAATCTATGATGATATCGGGAAACATGTTGAATATTTAATTCTTCGTTTTAAAATATTATATTTTCTTATCATTTTGTTAAGTTTAATATTTTACAAATTCTATAAATTATATGAGATTATCAAATTATATCCATTATATAATTGTTATTCTAAGAAGGATTAAAAAGAGGTCGAATTTGATTGACCACAAAGATGTAAATAAAAGGAATAGCGTTTTTTATAGATTTTCTGAATATGATAATGATTAATAAAAAGTTCGGGGTCGATAGAGAATATTGTTAAAAATTAAGCATGAATATGATATATACTTAAAAAAATTTTAGTATTATTGTTTAGTTTTCAAGATGTTTCCCACATGCCATTTTTTAATAATTTTATATATCATATTCAAGAGATCAAAATCTATAAAAAACGTTATTTCTTTTACTTACAATACATTTTTTTGGGCAAAAATCTGCTTTTTTAGGAGGATATTAAAAAAGGACCGACTTTTGTCCAAAAAAATAAGTAAAAGAAACACTATTTTATGTAGATTTTGATTTTTTAAGTCATCTATAATAATATGATAAAATTATTAGAAAGTCCATGACATTTGGGGAACATCTCTCTATTTTGGGAAAAAGTAAACAAGAATACTGATTTCTTTAAATATATCATATTCAAGCTAAATTTGCAAGGTGCTTCCTATCAATCCCGAACTTTTTATTAACATTATCGTATTCAGGAAATCAAAATCTATAAAAAGAGATTATTCCGATTTACTTATCTTTTTGGGCAAAAATTTGCCACTTTTAAACATCTTTTTTTTATTATCTCATTTTTTAAATGTCAGTTTAAATATTAGGTACCGCAGAAAGTTCATGTCGTTTTTTTTTAGCACAAAATTGTATTTACAATACATCTTCGTCAAAAATAAACAAAATTAAAATTAAAAAGAAATGATTTTGAAGCTTAAAATCTCTACTTTCGAAAGGCTACTATGCTTTTTGAATTTCTTTGAGTTTAGTAATTTTTACATACAAAAAAATACTGAAAGAGCTGAAAAAGATGGAAAATTTCTTCTAACTTTGAGTTTATCATTTGCCCAAAAAAATTTGCAAAAATTTTCGATTTTTCCATCGAAGTGAAGAAAATTTAAAGTTCTCCCTACAAAATCGTTTTTTAAAAGTATTCCTAAGATTTTTTTTTTTATTGAGTTATCGCAAATTAAATAAAAGGAGCACTTCGATTACTCATAACTTCGTTAACATATCGCAATTTAAAAAACAAATTTTAAAAATTTTGGTCTATTGACTAGTATAATAATAACTATTATAATAATAAATATATTCTATGTATAATATATTCTATGTATAATTTTGATCTAAAAAAACGACACGAACTTTCTGCGGTACCTATAATATAATAATATAATAATACATACCATAATTTAATTATATCAATTATATAATTGTTATTTTATAAATTACTGATTTCACAGTGAAATTTTATTTTCACTTCATTTTCACTATCATAATCAGTGAAATATAAAATGGAAAAGCAAAGTGTGATTAAATTATACTGAATCTCAGTGAAATACTCTTAGATTATTAATAAAACCATATTTTACTGTTTACACTGACATTTTTCGTTGGTTTACTTTTAGAGAGTAGGAGTGGAATAAATGAAAATGCCCATGGTATAGGAGGTTTCTGCCCTAGAGATGGAACATCTGATATTGATAAATTCATTTAGAGTATGATGAAATCTATTGCCTAACACTAAATTCCATTTTCTTATCGGCAAAGAAGTTGAAAAAATCTTTACTTCCGATCAATCTTACTACTATTCGATCACTATTACTACGAGCCAGCGGCTTTTCCCTTCCACGCTCACTACTTCGCTCTCTACCTCTCTTATCATCGCGTCGTCAATATGTAAAATTTCGAATATGATTTTTTTCAACTTTCCTTAGCGATAAGAAAGTGGAATAAGAAAATTTATTATATATTGACCAATAGATTTCATCATACTCGAATAAATTTATTAGTTTCAGAGGTTCCATCACTAAGGCAAAAATTCCCCTATACGGACATCCTCCTTTTATTCCATGTAAACGAAAGAATATAAAAGGAAAAATAATATCTATATATTTATATATAAAATTTCTTTACAAATTTTCTGACTTCATCAAGCAAAAAAGATTCTCTAAGAATTCTAGATTTTCTCAATATCTTCAGATAATAGATATCTTTTATTAAGGAAATATTTACAATATTTTCATACTTCAATTAACAAAGTATACAACTCACTTCCTCTTTGGTATGGGCTAGTTCCTCCTCGAGACTTGTATTTCTTTCAAGGGCCACGCGTAAACGCTCACGTACCTGGAATTTCATCACAACTGTTATCCTTTAGCTGCAATGTACATATACAGTGTCCACCAAAAATTCCAGACCGGCTGAATATCTTGGATATGTTTCAAAAATATATTTTTGAGAAAAATGTTTTAGACAAAAATTGTAAGGTTTAAAAAATCTATTTAATGATCAGTTTGATCTTGAGTGGCGTCACCAATATCAAATTAAGGTCACACCGATTTTTTTAAAATTAGACATCCTACTTTTTATTCCAAAATAGCTGATGTCAAGAGCATCTCAAAACACTGTAATAAAATTATTTTTCATAAAATATTTTTCGAGTTATAATGCTTAAAAATTACAGTACTGCCGGCATTAGCATTATACAAAGTGTCCGACCGATGGCTAATGTCTCTTGAATATTGTTCAGAATTACATTTGTTTTTGCAAATTCTAAAAATTCATTTTTATGTAAAAATGAAAATAAGAGAAACAATCTTCAATGACTTTGATCTTAACGAATATTATCCACAGAATGATCCTGAACAACATTCAAAAGGTTATATCGATCGGACATCTTAGATAATACTAATAATGACGATAATGTAACTTTTAAGCCTTATAATTCGATAAGTACCTAAATGAAATTTATTATAACATTTTGAGAAGATTTTGACAGTAGCTATTAGATTCTGGATTAAAAAGAGGATATCCAATTTAAAAAAATTGTGACATTGATGACGTCACCCAAAATCAAAATAATGAGATCATTAAATGTATCCTTTTAAATCCAATAATTTTTGTCTAAAACATTTTTCCCAAAAATGCATACTTTCTGAGATATTCAACCGAAATTTTTAGCGGGCACTGTGTGTGTGTGTGTGTGTGTGTGTGTGTGTGTGTGTGTGTGTGCGCGTGTGCGTGCGTGCGTGCGTGTGCGTGCGCGCGCGCGCGCGCGCATTTTAACATTGACATCGAAATATCTCAAAAATTATAAAAGATACGGAAAAATATTTCCATCAAAAGTTATAAGGTTTGAAAAGATATATTTACTGATTATATCCGTTTAACATTGGGTGGCGTTGCCAAAGTCAGAACGAAATCACTTTTAATTTTTTAAATAGGACTCTCTAGATTTTATTGCATATTATTATAACCGTTTCTAAGATCTTTCCAAAATATATATCTATAATTTAATTCACATTGGATCAACCATTTTGAAATTATCGAGATTTATATGATAAGTTGTTTAATCAATGAAGATCAATGGTTGATTCAACTAGTGAATGCAAGATCGATGGATGACCTAAACTTCTCGCAGCGGGCATGGTTTATTTCAATTCAGTACTCGATAAATAGAACATGAATTAGGAATCCCTATCTACTCATTCAATGTTACAATACCTCCTTACATCCTTATTATAATATTATCTAACACAAGAATTGAGCGAAGAATGATTGCAGAATGAGAGAGATCAATTTTATAGATGAGCACTAGATACATTGGAGCAGAATCCAAATTTTTTTAGAATGTCCGTTTCAGTGACGAAACCACCATAGCAATGGCAGTCTCAGTAGATTCTATAGTCATTACTGGTCACTGGTAGCAGATCCTTACTGATATCGACAGGTGATCAATCAATGTTGGAACTTCCATGTTTGGATTGGCAAATATAATAAAAAAATTATTGGACCGCATCTTTTTGAATGTACAATTTACTTAAACTTTCTCCAAAATCATTTGTTAAGATATATTCAGGACTATTCCACTGGATGTCCGCTAAAGATTTTAGTTTCAACAGGATAGTGTTCAACAGGATAGTACATTACTCTCGAGATGTTTGAATTTTCTTAGATAAGCAATATCCAAATCATTCAATAAGTCAAGAAGGCTCTTGTGGCCTCCAAAATCACCAAACCTAAATCGTGTTCATTTATGGGGATGTGATAGATGCTGTGTATCAGGAAGCACTTACCACGAGATTATAATGGAAAGAGCCAAAGAACCAATCAAGCGATAACATCGCAAATACTCAGAGGAGTCCTATGAAACTTTAGACGCAGATCGATTTTGTATTTAAAAAATAACGGCGCACACTTTGAACATTTAATTTCGAGAGTGACACATAATGACAGTTAGACAAAGTTCCTTAATTTTCTGATCTTGCCTCCATTGACAGGATCATCTTTTGATCTTGTCTTCATTGAATCAAACAATGATCTTCGTTGGTTGGACATCTTATCATATAAATCTCAATAACTTCAAAATGACTGCTCCAAAGTGAATTAAATTTTAGCGTTTTCAGAAGGTCTCAGAAAGGATTATAAAAATGTATGTAATAAAATCTAGGATATTCTCTTAAAAATTCGAAGTGACCTTATCCTGATCTTGACAATGCCATCAAATGTTAAACGAATATAATTAATAAATAGATCTTTTTAAACCTTACAATCTTTTTATAAAATATTTTTCCGTACCTTTTATAATTTTCGAAATGTTTCGATATCAAAATTAAAGTGAGACATCCATATATTATATATATTGAGTGTAACAAAACAGTCGTACCAGGCTAATTTCTTGAAATGCATTTTCTTGAAAAATGTTTCAGACAAAAGTTTTTCAAGAGGAACATAATATGGCATCATTGATTAGATCTTAGATCGCATTATCAAGGTAATCAAGGCAAGATCATGTTGTTTTAAATAGAACCCTCCATTTTTCATTATATATTCTTATAGCTTACCTCGAGAGCTTTCGAAAACACTGTAATTAAATTCATTTTCATTAAATACCTTTCGAGTTATAAAGCTTGAAAGTTAAGGTGTCCGACTGTGTCTGATGGGTAAAACCTTTTGAATACTGTTCAGGATAATGCTAGGACTTGGGTAATGCTAATGCCGACAGTACTATAACTTTTAAATCTTATAACTCGAAAAATACTTAATAAAAACGAACTTAATTATAGTATTTTGGAAAGCTTTAGAGATATACTATAAGAATATGTAATGAAAAATGGAGGATTTTATTTAAAAAATTCAACGTGACCTTGCCCTGACCTAGACAACACTACTGAAAGTCTAATCAATGCCATATTATGTCCCTCTTGAAGTCGAAAAATTTTTGTCTGAAATATTTTTCAAAAAATTAACTTGATACAGTCACTTTATTACGTCCAGTGTGTGTGTGTGTGTGTGTGTGTGTGTGTGTGTGTATTTAGGTATTTCAGACTACTCTTTTATCTTTGCAAGATAAAAGGTCCAATCTTAAAATGTCCAAAGACAAAAATTGCTGAGTTTAAAAAGAGCTTTTTACTGACTTATATGGCGTCGCCAAGGTCAAATCACGTCGATTTTTTAAAATAGAATACTCAACTTTTATTCTAGTATCTAATAGCTGATATCGAGAATTTTTCAAAACACTGCAATAAAGTTAGTATTTTTCATTGAATACTTTTCGAGTTATAAGACTTGAAAGTTACAGTACCGACATTAGCATTACGCAAGGTATCCAGCCGACGGCTGAAACCTCTTGAATGTTGTTCAGGATCATGTCCTGGATAATATCAAGATCAAAGCCATTGAAGATTGTACTGTAAATGAATCTTTAGTACAAAAATGAAATGAGGATAAGAGAAATAATCTTCAATGGCTTTGCTAATGTCAGTGGTACTGTAACTTTCGAACCTTGAAACTTGAAAAGTACTCAATGAAAAATAATTTTATTATAGTGTTTTAAAAAACTCTTGATATCAATTATTAGTTACTGGAATAAAAAGTTGGATGTTCCAAAGAAATCAACGTGACCTTAATCTGACGCCACTTTGGCGACGCCACCTAAGATCAAACTGATAAGATCAGTAAATAGATCTTTTTAAATCATACAATTTTTGTTTAAACACTTTTACATTACAATTAGATCTTATCCTGCGAAGAAAAAAAGAACATACGAGTGATCTGGAACACTATACATATACATATGTGCATGTATACAATAAATAGTGGAAAGATTTGAGGACATTGTGTTAATTTAAGAATGTTTTATATATATATTTAATATTAACTAAAAGTATCAGTCAAATAATCAGCTAAAAATAGCTAATATCAGCTAATATTATTTAAAAAATTTTTATATATTTTTACTTTTGCACGGATATTTATGTTTTATTACAATAGTACATGTATAAAATTTGATTTAATTCTTAATATTATGTGCTTATCAAATGCAAATAAGTACGTGCATAATAAAACGTAATTTTACATAGAAGTCAAGACATACAAAAAATTTAAATAATTTTTAAATCAATTACAGATTTGTACTCGAATTTTACATAGATACTTAAATGTAATAATAGTACAATCTGTTGATAGAACAAAATTTTTGCTTAATTCGTAATATTAAAAAAATAAGTAAAAAAAATGTGCATTTCAGGTTACACTTCACCGATTTGAATTGTCCTTTAGATATTTTGTAGGGGATAGTATCCTGAGTGATTCTCATAAAAATTAAGTGAGAGACGGCATTGGTTTAGGAGATATAACTATACTGAAATTCTAAAATATATAGGGGACGACATAAATTTTCGATTTTCCATAGTTTTCTAAATTTTCATGCAAAGCGAGATCTATTCCACTACTCCCATGCCTAGAGACGACCGACTTTTTTTGGCAAAGCAAGGTTCATTCCATCTCTTCCCGTGCATAGGAGCGCTCGATTATCCACGCAAAGTGAGTTCCATCCCATATCCCCACTGTCTAAGACTGTACGACAGTATTATGCAATATAGGGGATTACCATCCAATGATCATGATTTTGACGTATGTTGTCATGATCTTCAATATCTTCAACTTCATTTTAGCCATCGCTCGTTATTCATTAAAAAGTTATTAACAAAAAACTTTGAAAAAATAACGTCTCATTTTTGCTATATTGCGTTAGAGAAAAAATTTTTACAGTTAGAGTATAATTGAAATTTATTTTTTAAATTATTTACCCTTTATATTTATATTTTAAATTATATACCCTTACA